TGACATCAGAAAAAAAATTGAGAATCTTTATTTGTGTCATATAAAGGGGATTGCTTAAAACATGTATCTTGCTCTTTGTAGCACTCTTCTTAGTTTCATCTTTTCTGTCTTTTTTGTTATACTTGTCTTTTTCACCTCTGTCTTCCCTAATTTGTTGTGTTTCCTCGTCTCTCAGATTCTCTTTTCACTGAATCATAGAAAAATAGGACTGGAAAGGACCTGAAGAGGTCATGCAGTCCACCCCCTCCCCCTAGGCAGGATCAACTGTCCCTGTATCATTCTTGACAGATGTTTGTCTAACCTGTTCTTAAAAACCTTCAGTGATGGAGGTTCCCTGACATCCCTAGGCAACCTAGGCTACTCTCCTTAGCATTAGAAATGTCTTCCTGATGCCTCACCCTAGCCTCCCTTACCACAATTTAAAACTTTTACTTTCTTCTCCCTTCCGTTATGGCCATATATTTGCCTTTTCTGTTTGTCTGGACTCTCTGTAAAACCAGTAGCAGTTCTGTTATGAAGCAGGGCAATATTCTCCAAAAAGTTTGTTCTTTATTTCCACTTAGTTTCTTTCCTTATCTTACGCAAAATAACTTATTATTCTATCACTATCGTGTAACTTTCTGGATGCAGGGAATGACATCCCTGGTCTCCTAAGGCCACCTTAATACAGGACTCCAGTCAACCATCCCAGGTGTAGGAATATCCTGCATACACAGCTTAAGAACAAAATTTAGTCTTACAGACCTAATTCATGCATTGCCTCTGCAATTATCAATTGATACTACATTCACTGTTGACAGCAGCATGTAAAACTGATGTAAAAGAAATAAGAATCAGGCCTTTTGCATTTTTCAGCTTATTCCTATAAAATATTATACGACATTTTATGCTTCTCATATTCATCTTATTCCTCTAGCTGGAGTGTGCATACATGTATTCCTGCCAGACACTGATCAGTGTTGCATACAGTCATCATTCTCAGCTTGTCTACTATATCCACCTACACAGAATGGCACTTACAGCAACTGCTTCTGTAATTTCTGTGCCTCCTTCTGTCTTTGGATGGAAAATACACAACAGTCATAAATATAATTCATATCATATATACGTGGCCAAAATTGGGGAGTCAGCTATTGCAAGTTTCAATTGATTCTGTCATCCAGAATCTAATTCATAATCTAATAATCACCTCTCCTTAAGGCTATTTCTGGAGTGGAAATTATAGTGGATGAAAAGAGAGAGAGTATTTTAATGCAATTTTATGTCATAGATAACTATCATTGTTCTTTAAGCAGGACATTTACAGCTTAACCATCATGTCTGTAAAGCAGGGGGTGTGCTGGAAATTATGCAGGGAGTTAAAGATTAAATCCTCCCTCAGTCCCTGGTCAGCCATTACGGTGACTTCAGCCTTTCCAACCCCATTTGATCCCTTTTCCCTCACAAGCAGTGAGGCAGAAACGAACAATCTGTAAATATCCATTATATATGGCTATTGCACCTAAGGTCACTGTGCATCTGGATGTCATTAGCCATGCCCCTATTTGTCCAAAGATTTCTGACAAGAAAACTTCCAAGCTTCTGAGTATCCCAGCTATTTAAAAAATATATTTGCAAATGCATTGTGCAATGCATGTGCAGAGAATCAAGTATCTCCTAGACTTAACCAGCATACGGTGCATGCGCCGTGGAGTGGTAGTGGCTGTGTATACACTTTGCATGCACAACTGGAGATGCAGAATGCCCTCTCATTCTGGTGCTTCCTGGAAGCTTCAGGGTTATTGTGCACATGCTCAGCAGTTGAACTGTTTAGGGACTATAGGTGTCGCATGGCTGGAAAATGTTGGATTTGCCATATTTCTCTTACATGATCGTGTATTTCTCTCTGAGAAATACTGATGGCAAATAGCACAGAATCATGAAAAATTAAGGCTAAAAGGACAAGGTTCAGGAGATTATCCAGTCCACTCTGTTGTTCTCAGGCACAGTAGCTATTCCAGTATTTGTCTAACGTCCTCTTAAGCACTCTCTTAGGAGCTCCACAGGTTCCCCCAGCAATTTGTGCCAGTGCTTCACTGGCATGTTAGACAGCTTTTCCCATCATCTACTTTGAATCTTCTGGGTTATTGTACCTCATTCACTCCACTGTGATATGTAAGGCACTCATTCTCTCCTCTTTTCATCAGCTCTGCCTGTATTTGAGGCAGGCATCATATCCCAATTAGTCTTCCCTTCTTTATGTAAAACATGACCAGTTCCTTCCAGGTGTCTTCATAAGCCTCAGTTAACTCCCAGGCCTTCAGCCTCTCTTTCAGTTGATCCAGACTTTTTCTGAAGTGTGGCATCTAGCTTTGGCCATGGTGCCCCCCACCCCACCCCCCCAGGAGCTATTTCCAGTGCTCAGTAGAATAGAAGATCCTTCACAAGCACTGCTCACGCAGAGCTTGGCATGGGAGTTGGGTTTCTTTGCTTTTGCAACCCCAGGATTGCTGGTGGCATGTTCAAACTGACAGCATCACTTTGAATCCTAATCCTGTATCCAATCTATAAGAAGTCCCTCTCAGCATGTCATCAACATGTAAATTTATTAAGCATATTCTCTTCTCCATCACCCAGGTCATTAAGAAAATACCGAGTAGTGCAGAACAAGGACAGAGTTCTGTGAAGCACCATACATGCACACTTCTGTTTCCAAGGATAGATATCTGTCCTCTCGGTTTTGTTTTCCAGCCACTTTTGCATTCATTCTGTAGCAATTTCATCTAAACTATGTTTCCCTAGGTTATAAAGAATGTCACACGAGGGAGTGTCGAGAGACTTGTAAAGTCAAACCACCTACTGCTTTTTCCCTGTTTGCGAGGCCAATTACCCTGTCTTAGAGGGAGATCAGATTGGTTTGACACAGTTTGTTCCTAACAATCCATGTTGTCTGTTGCTACCTTGTTTTCTTACAAATTGTGTGATTATTTTCTTCAGTACTTTTCCACGGGTTGAAGTTTAGTTGACTGGACTATAATTTTGCAGATCTTTCTTTTTAAAGATAGCTACTAGTTTGCTCCTCCATTCTCTGAGATAAGCACTAGCATCTTTCAGACTGTTCCAGATAGCGCAAAAGCACTTAACTCATCTAAATACAGTACTTTTCTTCCTTTGCCTAGGCTGACATCCTCAGTGTTGTCAGAGACTCCTTTGCACAACAGGCCCAGAGCCCAGATGCCTGTTTCTGAAAGCTGCTGTCTGGAGTAATGTGGGTGTAATGGATGTGCAGTCCATTTCTGCAGTGTTCAGAGGCCAGCCCTCCTAGTGGGCTGCTTCCCTAGGAGATGATATTATCAAAGTTGGGAGCTCTTCTACAAATAAAATGCAGCCCTGAAATCTTTTTAAAGATGCCCAGTGCTTGCACAAGTCTGAAATCTGAAGCCTTTCAGTCAGCTCAACTCCTTTGATAAAATGCTGGTTTTCTTTGTGAAAATGAGCTTGAGCCCAAGAAACTACTTGAGATAATAAAGTGGTTTTGTTTCTCGATGCCCAGGGAAGTCAGAATAGGCTAATACTGGTCAGGTCAATAATGTTAAGTTTCTTGCTTGGTTCTTTGTTATTCCATGTGGGAGGCAGAAAAAGGAGTTGTAACTTCTTCCATTCTTAAACAGACCCATAACAGGAAATATGGGTCATTAAAATGGTTCCTATGTATTCCACAGAGAAGTGTCACCTTCAGTGTGATCACATACCTTTATCTACAGTGCCATACAATTTGTTGTCTACTTAGCATCGGGAATTTCTATGTGTTCTGGGAGCGTATATATATATAATTCGAGTACTACTAATGAATTCAGCTCCTTCTCTGAAGTCATTCATTCAGTTAACTATCAAAAGAGAAAAACTCATACTCCTTAGAATTCAAGAAATAGATTTAAATTACTGACTTGCAGCAAGGGCAAATAGGCCTTTTATCTTTCCCCCTTTCTAAGAATGCAGATTACAGCTATCACTTAAAAGTAAAGCCTTTTAGTACATTTTTGCAATCTTTTTTGATCAATATCAAGAATCAACATAAAATAAAGGTATAATAAGTAGCAGTCACCTGAGTGTATCAAGCCTGTATTACTGTATCATTAAGCTCTGAAAGGGATGGACGGGACTACTAGAAGCCAATTCAAAACTGTAATACCCAGTTGCGTACCTTCATTCTGCAGAGAGATTTCCCTTTGAATTTGCTGAAGTTTTATGTAACAATCAGTACCAGAGAATGTTTTCAGTCCCCCATGAAAGCTGATTAATGGTTCTTTCCTTTTCCCTAATGAGCAACCAAAGACTACACTATTGTAAAATTTGTAAGGAAGAAATTGGAAAGGCAGATGCATGTATCAAGGTGTATCATTTGCATCTGTCCTACCTGTTGGACTGTTTAGGTGTCTCTTACTCGACACAGTCCTGCTGTGAACGGGGCTCACTGTGTGTTTTAGGCAAGGACAATTTATCAGTTGAGAAATATGATTTTTTTTTTGTTTATCTGTTAGATCTAATGTCATAAACCAAATTATTCATTTTTGAAGGAAAGGGATTTTCCCCCAGTTTATTTACTCTTCCTTGTCCTGGTCCTGCAGTATGAAAGGACCTCTCTGAAACAATGCTGATTTGTATGAGAATCCATGTAGGAAATAAAAGTCTGACTTCACGAGTCAGAAAACAGGTAAGGACATATGTTTATTAAATCAGAATGCTGCTATGAATGTCATAGGTCTCTTATTACCCATTTCAAACAAATACTTACCTTCTAATTAGATTAAGTATCTGGTTAAACACAGTAAAAATGGAGAGCCAGAATACAAAAGAGCTCAGATTTCTCCTGCTGTAACACTGTCACCTGAACTAAGTCCATGGTATTTAATGCTCCTGTGAGATTTGCTCCCCAGAAGTAGATGAGTGAGATGGTGCATTGAAAGTTTCCTATTACTGCTTCATTTTCTAAATACCTATTTTTACATTTTAACATATAGCTCCATCAGCCCTCCCAGACGCAAGTGGGACAAGCAGCCTCACAATCCAATCTCCTGCATTTGGCTCACAGTCAAGCATCTATGTCTCAAAGCCCAGTGCGTCAGGCTTCCTCTTCTTCCTCCTCATCCTCCTCCTCTTCAGCTTTGAGTGTTGGCCAGTTAGTCAGCAGTAAGTATTGCTCCCTGGCTCTCCTTAATTCTCCCCTCTGTTTGTCCTCATCACTCTGAGTTTCCTGATCTGCTTTCCCTCCTTCTTTTTGTGTTTCATATAGTAGATTGTATGTTGCTAAGTAGAGTGACTCTTAACCAGTGGGAACTGCTAAGTGCTGGCATGGATGGGGCTTAAGGTAAACATGCCTAGTGAAATTGTCATCGGTGATAAAAACGGTCATAAAAATGGTAGCAACTGTTCATTCTTGCGAGGGCAATTCTTATAACTGAAATGTAGTTAATGTTCTTTGAAAATGAGAAGGTTTTGAATTGGTCAATATAATGAATTATAGCGCTCAGAATTTGGGAGGCAGCCAGATACTTCTTCGTGTGGTTAGGCTGCTAGTTCGTTACTACTTGTCTGCTTGCAGTTAGTGTAGCAAAGCATTTTACAACTACACAAATCTAGAGCAAGAGACCTTTCCTGCCAGGAAAGGTTCACACAATTTAAACAAGAACGAACTGTAACACGTGGGAGAGGATAGACACCACGCTCTGCTGTGAAATGACTGAGTTTCATTGTTAGGATTGTAACAGCAATCCTTTCTTCCAGATTACATAGTTCAGAGTCTTTGCTATTACTTTATCAGCATTAACTTTGGTTTTTACATAGCAAAACCCAACAGGTTAAAAGTATATATAAGAAGCATTAACAGTTTTTGCACACTGCAAGAATCCCAGTGTATTAGATGACCTTGTTCAAAGGTACTCCATGTATATATTTCAAGGAAACAAAAGCTATGGCTCATGCCACATTGGTAATGTAAAATATAGGACTGACACAAGCTTATGAAGGGCTTGGAGAAACTGTCATGCAAGGGAAGATGTGAAAAAAGTCCTGGTTAGATTATTTCAGAGATTGTTTACATGGGGAGATCGCTAGCAGAGCTGTAGTGGTAAATGTATGCTGGTATAACTCCCAGTGTGAATACTTCTATTCTGGAATAAAAATATCCGCATTGGTAGCTGTAAGTACATAAAATATATGGATACAGATGTAATTATAGTGATATAAATATACTGCTATTGCTCTCCTAGTAAATTTGCTTATGTAGACAAGCATTCTATGTAGGAAGAAGACAAATAAGAGGCTTCGTGTTAAAAATACATGAAGTTACCCCTTGTCTATATGGCAAGATTGACTAAAATAGCGAGTGCAGAATAAGTTCAAAAGCTAGTCCAGAATAGCCCCCTTGTGGACATTCTTATTAAAATAATACTCTAGAGTAACTATAGAGGGGTACCTTACCCCACACTAGTTATTCCCGTCAGTTCCCCCATGTGAATAAATCCACTACACAATAAAGTAACATGGAAGAAGCCCTTTTAAGTTTACTCAATAACTCCATCAAAATTTACAGGATGCTAGAAAAACAATTACTTGTTCAACCGTGTGCAGTTCCTCTTAGAACATGTGTTTTATAATAACGATATACGCTGTGATCAAAATCACACAATCAAGATGTTTTTCTCATCCTTCTTTCAAAATGGATTTTTTTCTAGGGGTGCATCAGAATTAGTAATGCAGCAGGTGGGCTGTTGTCCCAGGGTTTGTTCCCTATCTCATACACTAACCTGTTCTGCAGTTTGCATAACATTTGAGGTAGGGAGCTGTGGCAGGGTGAAGGATGGTCTTGCTTCAAGTGGTAGAGGTCTCAGGAGCTGAAGCTTTCTGTCTGCCACATGATTCCAGTGCAATGGCAGGCAAGTCACTTTAAACACATTTTTCACAAGCACTCTCTAAATACCCAGCTTGAGACTCTGGACTTTAATTTACAGAAGAACCTGGTACTCACACTTACAATTTTAAGTGCACTTTCACTGTGGAACTGTATAAAGAACCATTTAAACACACCGTCTAAAAAAATAATTTGCTACTTGACCTAGACTGGGTACCCAAAAATGCTTTTTCCTTAATATCTGTCCACTTCTGTGTGAATGAGAAGGGGAAGACCCTCATCTTGTAGAAACATAATAAAATAAATTAAGATCTAGAAAAACAGAGGAGCTCAAGAAGAAGTGTCTTTGGTGAAGAGCTTTAATAGAGGTCTGGGGCCACACACTGAACAAGTAAAAAGGCAATACATCAATCAGTTCCTCTGTAATGAAAGACAATTCATCCTGGGCACTGGATGAGGCAGAAGTCTGGGGAAAAAGATCTGGTAATCAAGGGCTCAAAGTCTGTGCTACACTGTGTTGGGCTACTGTAACTCCAATATTTTGAAGCTTCTGAGTGTTTATTTGTGCAGCTCTGAGGATGGCTTTTTTTAGCTCCATTTTTTGCTTGGATAAATTTCAAGGTAGCAACAAAGCAGGATAGCAATGTCAGTCAGTCATATGGTGAGATAATGCTTATATTCGTAGTTGGAAGTATGAGATCTTCTGTCAGCTGAATAGGTAGAAAAACTAATAGGTTCAGTTATCATCTTGTTGGTCCCGCTCTAAAAGGAATAAGACACATGATGTGGTCATGGATTTGGCTGAGAGCAAAAGGAGTATGCAGCATAGGAATATCAATTAGTGGAAGTGGGGAGATATACTACTTAACACAGACATTCTACTTGTTCCTCTCAGGCTTGGATCCCTCCACCACTTCTCTTCCAGTCCCATTGCATCCTCACACTGTTCGCCACATAATCAGCACTCCCTTTGCCTCTGTGCTTTTTGTTCCTCCTGCAGTCTTTTCCCCGCAGTCCATGATTCCTCAATGCCTCTTCCCATTTCAGTTCCACTCCACATCCCAGTCGGTCTCTGTCCTCAGACCATATCTGTGTCCTTTTTACCAGCCTTTTTATTAGGTAGTTTCTATCCTCCTATACCTTATTTTATTACTCATGCACCCTTTTTTTCCCTGTTTTCTGTCCTCTACCACAGTGATTACTACTGTCTGCACAGTCAGACCCTCTCTCCCTCCACTCCAAACTCAAATCCCTGCTCCTTAGTAGTCTTCAGCTGTTTTTTTCACCCTTCCAACATTTCTTTTTCTTCAGACACAAGGTTAATTTTTGCCCCCTCTGCATCCACATCATGCAGACACCACTCCCACCCTCCCTGTAAGCCATCAGAGTGTGGGAAATGATCACCAAGAAGAGGGGCGAGCCAGTATCTATCTTCACTGCTGCCCTGGTGCAAAGCAGGCCAGAGCCATAACCATAGGAAGGGGGTTCTTTGCCATCTATTTCAGCCTGAGACTCAAGCATCCTCAGTACAGACAAAATCTCAAATAAAATTCCACACAGAGGTGTAGCCAGTCTCCACTGAGTAGATATGAGTTTTGGAGGCTCACCTGCTTGGATTTGTTGGAGTTAGATTTTAACTTGGGATGCCAAGAAGCCCAGTACTGACAAGAGATACCTATCAAGGCAGTGCTTCAAGTTGTAAGGAAACCGAAACTTCTTAGCCACAGTACCCTATCTAAGGTAATGAATGGCACAGAGAAGGTTGTTTGGGTACTTCTCCCTTGCTCAAAATAGAAGAAAGCTCAATTAAACCAAGCAGGGAACTCAGAGTAAAGAAAATACTTTCCATACAGTCAGACTGAGGAAAGTGTTGCACTTGGGAATTAACCCGCTGTGATCCCGATATTAAGAGCACTCCAAAGAGCCTATAAGAAGGAATACAGTATGGTCAGTTCAGCAGGAAAGGGTCAAACCACCTGTCCTGTGTAATGAGCCATGAAAAGGCAGACAGGATCCCCTGCAGCTTTTCATTGTCATTGGTAGCACCATATTTTTAGACAAATGGTCTTAATTGATCATCATGAATTTGAAAATGGTTTCAAGTGACTAAAAGTCCATTTGCATACAACTGCGCCTGCTCACAGGGCAATAAATACACAGGAAGTCATCCCTCTTTTGCTCCTTTGCAGAATCCACTCAGCCCATGGGTGCAGATCCCTGAGGAGCAGGAGCACCACTTTTTCAAGCCTATGGCTCATAACTGAAAAGCCTTCTTAATGTCCCATCTCCCACACACAGACCAGCAGAGCTTTGTCTAACAGGCCTGCAATTTAAATCTAGTGTCTGCCAAAGTCCATTCAAAGTCTTTTAGTGGGATGAAGCCTTCAATGGGTCAGTAGTTCTGAATGAAACCTACAGGCATGAGGGCAGCAAGAAACAACTTGTGGCTTCCCGAACATCTCTTTGATTGCTTTTCTGCTCCTGAGGCAGGAATAGTGTCGTTTCCTTTTCCTCATTTGCTCCAAAGCTGTAGTCCCATCCTTCAGATGAAGCCCTGGAGTAGAGTACCCTGGTAGAGATTTGCCATATCCCAGAATTTTTAGCTAAGTATAATATATAATAAGTAAAACCAGGCATATTCAGCTGCCTTACTCTGTTAATGGAATTGCTTAGAGAAATATAATAACTTCAGTAGATAATTACTTGGTGCAAGGTGCTGCACACTTACTCTAATGAGAGTAACTCTCTTTACAAAGGCCACCTAACATTAGGGAAATTACTAAAGTACAATAACAAAGGGATTGAATTGGGCTTAAATAACTTCAGTGTTCGTGGTACTTTCCATTTGAGTCATATTTTGTTTATGATTTTACGTTTTTCTTTAACACATTTCCTTATTTTTAAAAGGTGCATTTCTTTCCTTTTTTTAAATTTCCCTTAATTTTTTTCTTTCCTCACCTTCTCCCCCCCCCCCCAGACTGCGGTATTCTTTATAGCTTCTTCCTTTTATGCTAGTTATTTTAAAGACAAAAATTCATGGTTGTTTCCAAAGAAAGGACATTTAAAAAGAAGCTCTGCCTAAGCGTGGACTGCAAGATTCATCTCTCCTCTTCCTGTCCCTTTTGTATGATTTCTTCGTATTGTCTCATCCTATCTCTGTTCTCTTTTGTCTTGTTTTCTCTTCATTCAGTTCTACATTATTATTCCTCCTTTTTTCCATTTCATTTTCCTCCTCTCAGATGCATCCCTCTGCTCATTCCTTTAACATTACTACTGGATGTTCTCTTTGTGGAAATCACTGTTTTCCCCTTGTGCTCTTATACTTGTGTCTCCATGAAGTTTCTTTCTTCCTTCCAAATTCATTTTACTGTCATCTGTTACTATAAAATTAAAATGCCTTCCACAAACAAATTATTCTTCATCCTTTCCCCTGAGCTCCAGTCCATTTTCCATTAACAGTGTTTTGTCCTGCCTTTTTTTTTTATCCAATTTACTTTCCATTGGACTTCCTCTGCCGACTATTTCTCCTCCTGTCTGACTGGGGAAATCATCCCCTGTAATCCCTTCTATGGCAGAACTCTGTGCAACAGAAATTTGCTTTCTCCTTCAGGGTGCACGGATTTCTTTGTAGCAACTCTTTCCCTAACTATTAAAATCGCAGCGTATTTGCACTCACCAACAAACTCACACGGGATTTTTCAGGAGAATTCAAAAGCAATCGTACTGTTCCCTTCAGCAGGAAAAAGGGAGTTTCAGTGCAGAACGAGAGCGTGTGGATTCTGTTTCTTCCACTCTTCTCATCCACATTCACCATCCACCAGGACATCTGGGGGAATTTTAGGTGCTTCCCTTTAGTTAGGGGATATGTACACTTATCCCCTAAAATGATCTCAGACAACTTTCCCCAGCACCCAGTAGTCTCATTGACACAACAGCCATAATGTACACTGGGAGTCTTTAAATGTTCTTATTGTAGATCACTACCACTCAATGAGATTGGTATTCTTTATTTTCCTGTTGGCACTGTGCTGCCTTCCCTAGGATATCCAGTTAATTTAAAAAGCACCAGTATATTTACAGGCTTCAGTAAGTTACTCTTCCTAAAATGTGAAGTGCACTATACACTCTAGTGTTCTGAGAGCTCAGAACATATTAAAGCAAAGTCCATTATCTATTCATAAATGCTTATGTATGTGTATGTATTAGTCCACAGAGTCCAAGATTATGTATTGATGGCATTTTATACAGCAACAGAGTAAAACAGGCCAGTGCTGTTACATGATGATGGTGGTCTTCATGGTACTATTTGAGTTTTATGGAGCTGACAGAAATCAGGGGACTACTATAGATTTCAAAGGGCTTTGAATCACACCTGAAGTAGAAGTGGTTCTCATTTGATACAAATGCTCTTTTCCCTAGAGTTCAGGGATAAAGGGCTTCAGTGTTTTGGTCCACCTCTGTAAGTGCATTCCTTTTCCCAAAGATGCTATGTAAGAATGAAGCCCCTTTCCCAGCAGATACTCAGCTCTACTCTGTGTCTCTGAAAATCAGACCTGGAATGTTAGGTAGACTGTGTATGTGGTAAGTAGGAAAATTTCACACCCCTAAAGGCAATCAATCACTTTACAAACCTGAGTGTCCCCTGTCACAGCACTGACTGCATAAAAGCAAACCATATGCATCCTGGCTTTGCACTGAATGAGTGTATGCATGTGTGGTGCACAGGTGAGCTGAAGCACAGCACTGACAGTAGGAGGGATGATTCTGAGTGTGAAGTATTGTCAAGACTAGATTGAGCCTATGTGTGTGTTTACCTGTATGCATAGTTCATGTGGTCCCTGGCTGCATACATGAGTATTTTTAAAATACTATTGCTGTGTGTGCTTCTTACACTCAAGCTACAAATAGATACAGGCTTAAATTTATATAGCAGAAAAACCTCTTCCCTCTCTCTATTATTGGAGTGAAAGATTTTTCATAGGACATTTCCATTATAAGGAAATTTTACATCAGGTTTATAAACCCCTGAGAATAAAAGCTTTGTTACTGTAGCGCTGATAAGCCCTTAGCTACAGCAGTACTAGTGGGAGCCACTCTCATATAGGGTTCAGAATAGTAATGTAGTCTAGCACTGTCCTTGGACAACTGCTTGCATTTACAGAAATTGACGGGTTGTTGTGCTGCAAACTCTTCACCTCAGAAGTCTGAGGAATGAGGTGAAGAACAATAGAGATGTCTCACTGGGAGGACGGCTTCACTACATGCAGGATTGCACAACACTTTGAAATCTTCCACCATCCCAGTCCCATGCTGTCTCCGACTTGGCAAATGCTTTCATTTAGCCGGGGATCAGTAGCTTGGAGGGGGAAAAAAGTTCCATTCTCCAGCTGTTGTGTCATTTCCCTTGATAAGTCCTAAATTGACCGAGTTATCCAGCACCAAAGGAGCTTTCCTCGGGTAGACATGCTTTATTATGTGTCCTTTCAGGGACAAAGGCTTCTGTGTCAGTAAACTGCTATGGAGAGGAAGGACAGATTTATTCTCACAGCATCATAAGCATTATCTTCGGAGGGGCTAATATAAAAGTAAAAAACTGTGCAGCATTACCATCCAAAACCTAATGGCTGATGTTGCTGCTCCTTGATTATGAACCTGATGGGAGGCAGAATGAAAAGCTTGAAAGGCTGCTTCTCAGAAGGGCATATTTTAAAAGATTATTTTTAAATTAAGGAGTTTTTAAGGGCAGCTTTTTGTTTGGGCTTGTTCATTTGCTGGGGTATTTTGTACGCTTGGCTGGCAGTTTGGGTTGGGTATTGTGGAAAAGGGAAGGAAGGTTTGTGAATCTCATTATTTGGCATTATTTGTAGATAAAGCAGAAATTCTTGCTTGCAGATTAAAAACCCAAGCAGTTTGTGCATGTATTTAGCCCTCCCCACAAACTGCAAATACATACATTAACACCAGCCTTCCTTCTGTACGTGATAAGAAAGGGAAACAGGGAACACCACGTGTCGAGCTGGGGAAGGTTTTGCAAGGCACAAATGGCAGTGAGGAGCCCAGGCACCCCCTCACTGAGGTGAGTTGGCCATTTTCAGGAGTTCAACAATAAAGTACCTGGAAACACTGAACTAGTTTTCATTTTAATGATCTGAACATGCCTCATAACCTAAGAAAGCAAGCCTATTTCTGTCTGGGGAAGAAGAGAAAGGGATAAATATTAAGAAGAAAAGAGATTAACGCCTGCCGATGGAAGCTGGTGTAAACCCAGAGAGCCCGCTCTATGTGACATGAAGGACTGACATGATTAAACAAATATTCCAACAGATCCTCAGACAGCCACGGGAGAGGTGGATGGGGTGAATCTGGAAGAAATCCGAGAGTTTGCCAAAGCTTTTAAAATCCGGCGCCTGTCCCTTGGCCTGACACAGACTCAAGTTGGCCAAGCCCTAAGCGCCACGGAAGGCCCAGCCTATAGCCAGTCTGCCATCTGCAGGTAACAAGTTACATCATAAACTCTCCTCTCCCTCCTTTGTTCTTAATAATTCTTCAGTTTATTGCAAGGAGCATGCTTGTGTTTGAGTCTCATGTCTTTAGAATGTATTATTTGATCTGGGACTTATACTAGCCAGGGATGTTGGTAACTGGCAGATAAAATGCTCTTGTTGTTTACCCCTAAAGTAACTTTAGTTGGTTGTGGGTTTTTTTTCCTTCTTCTTTAAACAAGCGAGAAACGATGTTCCTGGCATTGAGATTTAATTCACTAGACGAGCTGGAGACCCTGCTGATGGTGGATAAGCACCAGCTGACCCTCTTCATACTGTGCCATTTTCTACAGATAGGGTTACTGAACAAATATTTCATGGCTGCATCTCTGCTAAGTTAAAACATGTATTACTGTGGTTAGCACTTCACATATAGGATGTTAATGATGATTTACCTAGGCAACACAGAAGGGGGAAAAAATATACTTCCTGCTGTCTTGTAAACTAGCAGCTATTAATCTTTTATTGCCTAAATATTTACTAAAAATCCAGACAACTCATATATGCAAAGCAGAAGGAGACATCTGCCCCAATCATAAGAAATGATAACACAGTCTTGACAGAGATAGTTAGAAGCAAACACCGTATATGCATGTATGTGTATTACAGTGATCCCATATTTATGCATGAGGTAACAAACACACTTAGGTAACAGCTTTTTCCTCTTGGGCAATGCCTTATAGTTCTTCTCCATCAGTGAAAGCCAAGAAACCAGCTCTAAGCTCATTTAAGTGGATTTTGTTCTTGGTGATCCATGAAATGCTCTGTCTTTTTATCTGCTCTTTATACTTTTAATGTATTCCCCATAGAATGGAAGTGTACTTTTCCTGCAGTTTAAGACTAAGGTTATAAATAACATCAGTATGGGGTAGCGAGCTTGCAGCTCACATTTTGCTCAATGATTTTCCATAAAACCCATTGATTGTTGTTAAATACAAAATGCTCCATAGGATCCTCTCACTTCTATGGTCTCCCCTACTGTTTTTTCTTATAAGATACCTCCCTGTAGAAAATAACCTTTATTCAGTCTATACAAGGATACTACTGCTGGAAAATTTGTTTCAGGACTTGTATATCGTTATACCAAACAACATGGTCCTGCAGTATCAACACTAACACGCAATGCCAATGATATGAATGCTGTTGCTCCCTGTTGCTAAGGATTAATTTTTTTCCTTCCCTGTGGTCAGTTGGTGAAGAATACCAAAAATGGGTGGAGTTTTTAGCAATTGCCAATTTGCGTAGACTTAAGTTGCTATTTAACAGGAGATGCTTTAAAGTGATAAATTGCAGTTTCCTCTGCTTTTGTCTAGTTTACTGTCTTTCATTTCCTCCAGCTACCTCACACCTGAGAAAACCACTGGGCAGGGTTTGAATTTTACTAAGAGAAAGGGTTCCCCACTAATGGATTATCACGAAAACCCCCCAAAAAGATGGAGTACAAACATGACTAACAAAAGCCCAGAATGTGGAGACCTTTTACAGAGGGCTCCTTAGAGGGGCAAATTGCTCAGAACAGGAGGACTGAGTGTAGAAGCTGGTCTCAAATACTTGCAAGGTTATAGGGTTGTCTTATTTCCTTCGACTGCCCCAAATGGATATCACTTTGGGGTGTGGTAACAAGTTATGACTTGTTAAGCACCAAGACAAGCTGCTTCAGTGGCAGTATGCTGTTCTTCAGAAACAGTAGGTTTAACTTTTCTTCTAGTGGTTACCACAGAGTTTCAGTACGAACTCCAGGGTAATAGAAGGGGCAGTTAGGTAAGCAAGTGAAACAGCCAAGTTGGAGACAGGAATAGAATCTCCTGGTGGCCTGTGCGGGTCATATCAGCAATATACCACCTTGCCGATGTGTTCTGCATGCAAATAACAGCATTTTCTTAACTTGAGACCATGTGTTCTAAAACATACGCTTCAGCCTGAAATATCATGGACACCAAAGAAGGACACCTTGCAGTCAATACTACGCTAGGATCACAGGCACCAGATACAGATTCTTTGGAGTGTTATTACCTGAAAGGATTCCTTATCTTACTCTTTGTTTGTAAGAAATGCTTTGTTTTTTGCTGGAGTATTTTCTGCAGCTGCCATATGCTAAATAGAGACACTAAAAACTACCAACTCCAGTCACTGGGTTGCTTTGCGCAAAGGCATTGATTTGGTTGTTCTCATCTCCAGCGCATGTCATGATTAGCAGCGGCAGTGCTTCAGCACTGGGTGGGCTGGAGAGTGCAGCAGCACCACACAGTAACTGTTGTCCTTGCACAACATTAAACACCACAATGTGAGGGGTGGACATAGGCAAAGTGGGGAGATACGGATGGGTGGCGTCAGAGGGTTAAGGCTATTTTAATGTGTAGCAAGAGAGGATGAACTGGGTAAATGAAAGAAACAAGTACTTAAAAGACTTGAAATGTGAACTCGGCTCTTTGCTTCTTTTTGAAAGGATTAAAGCTTTGTGTGGTTGCTTTTCCAGATGTTTTATAATACTTGTAAAATCTGGTTTGGCAAAAGACTTTTTGATGGCAAAATGATATATAGGAGACCTCATTTACAGGAAATGATATCATTCTGGTACAGTTTGCAGAAATCCCACAATAAACCCAGCTTGGTGCCACAGCATATTAGTAGACTATTATGCTGGGTTTCATCTGGAAAACATGAGTCTGTCTTTGCACATTGTGGGGGCAGTCAAGATAATTGCAAAGTGTCCAGCTGTTTCAGCTGAACACTGCCGTAGCTATGGGAATCTTTTTCCGACCCAGAGAAGGGATATAGTGTTAACTTGCAAACAGTGAAAATTGCTGAAAAATGAAAGGAAAAGAAACCTGATATTGAGAAGCTAGTAACTGCCATTTGTTTGTATTATTAAAGCTGTGGCTTCTTGACAACGTGGGATGGGAGGGCAAACAAAAGGATTAATCACAAAGACAACATGAGAAAGAGCAATTGCCTTTGATGTCATTTCCTGTAATTAGACTTAGCATTAAAGGTTTTAGAGATCATAGAAATATGAAATATGGAAATGCGACTCATAACCTGTATTATTCAGTATACTTAAAATTTTGTTGTAGTGCTCGTTTTGTGTTAGCTTAAATATCTAGCTATATATATATATTTATAGATATACCTATCTGCTAGTTTTCGTAATCCATTGTACATTACCTCTGCCAGTCAATTAGTCAGGCAGGCAGGAAGTCCCACCCTGGCAGAGCATCAGTGTAAGACTCTTCTTTCTCAATTTTCCCTCAGACACACCATCCTGAGAAGCCACTTTTTCCTACCACAGGAAGCCCAAGAGAACACTATAGCTAGCAGTCTGACAGCCAAACTGAACCCTGGCCTTTTGTATCCTGCCAGGTTTGAAAAGCTGGACATCACCCCTAAAAGTGCCCAGAAGATAAAGCCGGTGCTTGAGCGGTGGATGGCTGAGGCTGAGGCCCGCCATCGAGCAGGTATGCAGAACCTTACCGAGTTTATTGGAAGCGAACCATCCAAAAAGCGCAAGAGGCGCACCTCATTCACGCCACAAGCCCTTGAAATCTTGAATGCCCACTTTGAGAAGAACACGCACCCCTCTGGGCAAGAAATGACAGAGATTGCAGAGAAACTGAACTATGACCGGGAAGTAGTTAGAGTTTGGTTCTGCAATAAGAGGCAAGCACTGAAGAACACAATTAAACGTTTGAAACAACACGAGCCTGCGACAGCAGTTCCTATGGAGCCTTTAACAGACTCTCTGGAAGAAAACTCCTAAAAACAAAACTAAACCAAACCACACACAAAACCAAACCCCTGCACCAACAGAAACGTAACCATTTGAACTCTGTGAAAATACCTGTTCATCACCCTTGTAAGTAAAAGACTGAGAAAACTGCAAGAAGGACAGAACAGTTTATAAATGTCCATGGGATTTCCTATTTAAAAAACTAAATGAAAAACTACACAACACTCAGTGTGTGTGTGTGTGTGTGCGTGTCGTAGAATTAGTTCCTCCCCTCCTAAAAAAAAAAAGCCAGTTTTTTTAAAGGGACTTAAAGTAAACCAAATAACTGCTTACTTTTTTTCTGTATATTATGAAAATATGAACACATTTTAAGGAAAAACAAAACAAACAAAAAAAAAAGAACAAAAATGAAAGGAAAAAAAAAAAAGACAAAGAAAAACTTTTATCTGTTTAAAAGAGAATACAAGCCTGCCACCTGGAGGAGTGATTGTAGCCTTTCAGGTATCAAGTGCTGATTCACTATGAAACCTATTAACCAAAGTCAGAAATATGGCATTGCAAACTAGATTGTTAATCTACTCTTTTATGAGTGTACAATTGTGTTATGAATTTTTACATTTGTATTTTGCAAACAGGAGAACAACAGGATTAATTTCTCTCATCCTTCCTTGTTCGCACCCCCTGCAGGTGTGTACAAACAGGGGTTAAAGCCATTCCATAGTGGTCACCTCCTTTTCTTTTGGTTTTGCAATCTCCAAGTGTTTGGGTGCCAAAATTAATTTGTTTTTATTGTGATTTGCAGGGTTTGGTATTTCTCTTCTAAGGGTGTATGTCCTGGTTTCCATTTCTTTTCCTTTTCGCTGGTTTCTTTTGCTGCCTCCTTCTCCCAGCTCGCTCTCCCTCTCCCCCCCCTTCCCAAGCCCACATAACCCAGTACTATTTGAAGATTTTTAAAAGGAAAAGTGAAATCTGAACACTTTTATATTGGTATGCTGAAATGCAATAGAGGACAAAGAAGGATTAGGATTATGTCTGATGAGCTGTCAGCCCATGCTGAACATTGTGCTTCTTGTCGAATGGGTAGCTTGGGATTTCTCTGTCCTTTGGCCGTGAACCTGGAGAGGTTACCAAAACTCATTTTGTAGTATAACTCTAAACTGCACACTTGGTACCATACTGCATTTTTATTATGGTTCTGTTTGAAGCAATTTCTCTCCAAAGTCTGCTAGCCAAAGAAATTTCTTGAGATTCTGCTGAAAACACGTGGACAGGCCGAGAAGTGATGAGGATGTTTTGGGTTTTACATCACTATGGACTGTTTCAGTGGTAGTGCTTTGTTCCTTCTGCTTTTATTTTTAATGTCATCTGGTATTGATGCTTGCCCTGTTGTCCTCTTCAGTGGGAGGATGTGTTTCTCCAGGTGTTTGCTGTGACCACTGGCTAGACTAAGCAATCAGGATACAGAGAAACCCTCTGAATCTCCTTTGGGAATTGTAAGGTGGGCCACCTGCAATATGTAACAGGTGAATTGATTTTCCTTTAAAGACAGTGTATCTCTGTGGCTTCTCTTTTGATTGGACAAACATCTTCTAAAATCCTGTGATTATTGGACCTATGAGTATACCAAGGCTCAGAGGGACAGAGAGGTGTTGCAGGTTCTTGATGGGGTATGGGCTGACCTGTGAATGTCACCTGCAGTTTTCCTCTTCTGCTGAGCTCTGCTCCAGCCTTTGGGGTTCAGCCCACTATTAGGGTAGAAGCTGCATCTCAATCAGGACTTTCCAAAAGAGTACTTTGGGGATTTGGTTCACCTCACTATAGAGGTGGCAGAGTAAAATTCTGCTGGTACAATTCCTAATTGCATTCACTAACCACAGGATGGTTGTACTGGATTTTTGCTGGTCTGCCCAGGATGTTGAAGGATGTTCCCAAAGTGCTGGAGTCTTCAAATAACATCTCTCTTGTGCAGTTCTCAAGAACTCAAGGCTGTATACAAAACTTAAGTGAAAGAAAGGGACTTCCATTGATTTCACTAGGCTTTGAATCCAGCCTCGCTACTTTATTAACGGGGTTTGCCTCGTAGAATGGGGTCTTGCTGCGTGGTTGGTGGAGTTTTAAGGTTTCAGAGACCATCGTCTGTGCAAGAAACTGCCTCTAAATGTGAGCACTCTCAAAGGTCAGGGTTGGAGAGCACTGAGGATCCAGTACTCTGGGCTGGGCTCATGTCCAGTGAATGCATTTTAGGCTTTAAGCTTCGGTAGGGTATGTTTAAGGATATTTTCAGTATTGCTTTTATGTGGAGGAGAGTGAGAATTTTTACTGACTCTTTTCCAACTGTTGATATATAAATATCTGCCAGGGGAAAAAAATCTCAGTAACCACAGACAAATTGTGAGAGACAAAAAAGATGTTTTACCCAAGCCGAGCACGTGAAGTAAAGAGTTTCACCACAACATCTGCCTCTTTGGGTTTTCTTTTTTCCCCTCTGTATCAATAGATGCCTATATCCGCAGATCTGTCTATGTTATCTATACCAGACAGCCCTAAACTTGTGGCCACAACTCACTTTACATAACTATTAGGAAAGCACCCAGAAGCCAACAGGGAATCAAGGAAGAACAGATCATATCTGGAAGCTGGTGCTCCTGAAGTCCTATCCGTGTCTCCAGCATGCTGCTAACTGTCCAGTCATTAATGCCACATACACCATTACCTGTTCAGCTACCCTTGAGACTGTACATCACCTCCTCTTGTGCACACCCATCTCCAACAGCCTGGGAACAAAAACATCAACCAGTCTTTGCCTAAAAACTGAATTTCAAATTCTCCTAGGGACTGCTCTAAATTTTGTGAGGAGAAATCCCCCAAGAACAAAAGTTAACTAAACAGCATAGAAAAGATACTAAATGTTTAAAACTACACTGGCAGCAGTTACATAAGCTCCTTTGTGTTCCAAAGTACATGTGGGAAGGCTATAAGTAGGGCAGTGAAAATGTAAGATAAATATAAATCGCCGGCTTGGAAGAAAAACCCAGTGTTCATCCCACAGTCTTAAAACCATTCATGTGCAGTGATTTTTTTTACAGTTTTCTAATTTTGTATTATGTTTTGTAAATTATTTCTAAAGTGTTGTAATGCTTCTTATATTAATTTTTTTATAAACAGATTTTTGCTATGAGGCATAAATGGTGCCTGAACAGATTCTTAGGAAGATAAATTACGTGTGAGTTGGACATCTCGGGGGTTGGGGGGGGGAACATAAACATTGTGTTTTATTTTGCTACTGGCAACATTTCTGGTTCCCATTTGTGAACAGTTCTCATGTAGCGATTACATTTGAATGCCTTTTAATTTTGCATGTGACTAAAAGATAGAATGCTACCAGCAAATGAAGACAAAAGTCTCTTCAGTCATATGTGAAGGTTTGATGGTTTTCCAATTTATTGATCATTGAATTTTTAAATATATATATATATAAAATTATTATTTGAAGAATGAACCAAGGGTTCACTTACTGTTCTGATTTTGTCTTTTTATGTTTTTCACTAAAAAAGCTATTTTGGACAGTTGAAGAAATCAGATGCATTCAAATGATTCCAATTTCTTTATGTTATTACCAAAAATAATGAAAAAAAGAAAAAAAAAGAAAGAGAGAGAGAAAGAAAAGAGAGAACAAGAAAGCAAAAAGGAGCTAGGAAGGAACAAGTAGAGGCGTATCAAAGAACTCAAGCTATAACCAAAAAGAAATATGTAAAATGCCTTTGCTCGTCTTCTCAATGCTGGACCAAAGCTCAATGTATGTAGGTATATGCACATTGTATAGATATGGCTAAATGTTGCTGACAATCTCGCAATACTAAACTGTTACTATTTAAAAAAAAAAAAAAAAAGAAAAAAAAAGAAAAAAGAAAAGAACTACAAAAATGAAACTGTTCATCAGTGTTTTACCTCAGCACTCTACTTGTACCCAGTTATTGACCAACATTCAAATAAGAAGCTAAGAGAGGAAATTGATTTCCATGTCAATGTTTGACTGTAAAATCTGTTTGGAAAACATTTTGTAATGAGCTTTTTGTCATGTGGTTTGCTTGTTTCCAACTTGAGATTATGTGGGGCACATCTGTTTATTTATTGTTAAAAAGTGATATTATTATTATTAATTATTATTATTATTACTATTATTATTATTATTTTTGTCCTATGTGCTATAATCTACAGAATGGTCACCAGGGTCACTTATGAAGCACTGCAAAGAGATCATGTTTTTCCATGCATGGAGCATGCAGCAGGAAAGATGGCAGTACAAAACGGACTGTATTGTGTTGTTAACAAATACGAATAACTACGAAAAGGAGTTGACGTGGTGGACTTGTGACCAAGAAACCAAACTGGATATTTAAAAGCTCCTTACTACTCTGACTTTGAAACCAAAGCTGATTTATCTGCACAGGTTGCTTAACATGAAAAAACATAAAAAATAAAAAAAACTGACAAAAACTGTACTTAATCTAGAGCAATATCTGTATGGTCAGTAAAGCTGCACTTTGTGTATTTCTTAACAGCTTCAGATCTGTCACTTTTAATTTGTACCATAAAAAATAAAGAATTGTTTGACATGAAAAATAAGCTCCTTTCATGTGTTTGTCTTAAATCTCATGCATTATTCACATGATCAGAGCTCATGTAATTTCACATGAGTTCAATACAAAAACAGTTAAATGATTGAAAGAAAGGAAGAAAGAAAATCTGTTTGCACTGCGGAGCAGTGCTTTATCTGCCAAACTGAACACTGGTTTTGTACCCAGAGTGGGCATGTACTCTGTGATGTCTTATTTTCTCTACAGGTATGCAGAGGATCTGCCTCAGGAATATGGTGGGACCACTCAGGTGAGTGTGTATTATCCCCCAGGCCAAGTGAAGGAGAACGCAGGTGGACGTGATGGCCAGAAATGGTGAACCTCCTGGTACCTCCATGACAAAGCCCCGGTAAGTGATGGAAGGGGAGCGAGGTAGTGAGGCCTGTCAAGTGAGTTCTCTTGCATTTTTGCAGAGCTCATGAGGTTCGTTCCTCATTTCTTCCTGTGATTATATTAGATAGCAGAAATGCCTGTTTCTCAGGCCACTTGGCGTTGGGGAGAGTTCTGTCTAAATACGTGATTGTGAAAAATCAACATGTTTTGGGAACTGAATGAGCTGAATCATAAAGTTGTTTTGGAAAAAAATCAGCCTAAAAAAAAGAAAACAAAACCAAAGAGCTTTGACAATATTAGGAATTTGTGCTTGAGTCTCAGGAACTAAACTTGTGCAAAACTTTTTTCCTTTGATTTTGCTAAATATGGTTTCACATTTGCAACACCATGTGTTAAGTAAAACCAAAATAATTATTTGCTTAGAAAATACAGGGAATACCTGGGATATTTATCCTCATTTTTTTTCCAGATTGGAATTTCCTTTGTCCATGCATTTTTACTGCATTTTGTGGGATACATAATTAGGGAAGTCAACCTTCTTGCAGACACGATGATACAGGCATCACAAGCAGGGCAGAGATGACAGAGGTATAGTCTTTTGTTAGACCAGCTAGTGCATGTGGGAAAAGTAGGTAAGATTTTAAATGCCCAACTGCGCCTGTGCTCTAAAACAAAAGAAGTTGGATCCAAAAGTAAAACAAAAGCAGTTGGATTCAAAGGTAGAAAGAAGCTGAGAACAGAAAGAAGGAAGACACTGGGGAGCTGCGATGATTTGAAGTTGTGTCTTGGTACTACCTACACACAGCCATTTCTTTGTATCATGGGCTAAACCATCATGTGCCTGCTTCATTTCAAAGTACAGACTACAGGTTTCTGCACACCAGCTACACCAGGGAGTGCCAACACCATTATTCCCAATGCCTTGGGACTGAGTAGTCCTTATATCTACCTACTGGTAAACACCTGCTCCACAAATACCTTTTACAGTATGCATAAGGACAGCTCAGTGTACTACAGACCAATGAGGGTATCAGAATTACACCAGCTCCTCTAGGCATCATGTCTCCACAGTGGTCTAACAGTTGTACTTCAAACCCACGTAATTCATCTACTTGTATGATACAAGGATATGGAGAATGACCCTTGGTGCTATTGCATCAGCTACTAAAATGTGAACACGTATCTTTCCATTCAGTAGTGGTAACAATCATTGGTTAGAGCCTTTTTCCCCCTACCTCACTTCAAAATGCAAAACTTCCTCTTTGGATCATCCTTGTGGAACCTTAGCTGCCTCATAGGCACATGACCCTACCTAGCCATTACTTAAACACCCTGGATTTATACTGTCACAAGAAATGGTGACTTTGCAAATTGAATTATGTTCCCACTGATCACTGAAAGCTTAAAATAGATCCTACCTTCAAGCCCCTGAGCTGACTGTTCAGCTTGGCACCCCTTACTGTGCTTAGAAACCAAATTTCTAGAGCTTGGCTGTGACAGTACCTCAGAGCTCCCTAAATGCAACGTTAAGGACTAAGAGCTTTAGAAGCACAGTTCTTTCCATGGCATCTCTTTTGTACTTCTCCCAAAACAGAGCATGTTTTTGTGATAGTCTTATAAACGGTAAACTCTGTCTGTGCCCTGTCCTTCCCTTAAAAAAGCTGTGGTGGGTGGAAAGCTGGCACTAAGATTAGAGAACTACATAGAGATTGTATGAGACATGGTTTTATACGGCCTATTCCCATGTGCAGCTGCTTTATGACTGTTCAGAGCCTACCAGCACAGCTTTGGTAAGCAAAGATTCTCTTCTACTGACTTGAACTTCAATTAAACAAGCACTCCAGAAGCAAAACAGACTTACCAAGAGGGAAGGTTCTCTTGGGGTTTGTTTTTTAATCTGAGAATTCAGACTCGATATGAATCACTCCCATATGAGATCGTGATGTTTTTAAAAATAATTGAGAATTAAAGAGTTGAAAATTTATTTTCCTTCTCTCTTCCTCTGCTCCACAGACCTGGAGGGTTGATTTTTCCCTTGTTCACAGTCCTTTACTGTTGCATTTTGCCCCACTATGGACAACAGTGGCCAGGACTGAGCAGAGAGTCACCACGTAGCTCACCATCAGTGAAAACAGTTTTTAATCCAGGCCCAAACTGCGCTGATTTCTTCTGAAATGCCAGCAGCTTCTGTGTCTAATCCACCAAAGCAGGTGCAGGGAGGGCATGGAACAGCTCATGCAATAATGAGTCTTTCATTTCACTGTGTTCAGAGGACACTGAACTTTTTGTATCATTGCATGATCACGGGCCTCATGTCCAAACACTCCCCAGGCCAAGAGCTGTCTGTATGTGTGATCACACACGTTCAGCATGGGTAGGTCTTGATTCAGGCCACAAACACACACACAAGCTCACAGAGCATTAAAAACAGCTTTGGCAGTACTAAAACTGTGCTAGGGACTACATGCGTGGGCCAGTCCTAAAAGAACACAAGATTCTGGTTTTGTGGAGCACCACCACGGCATCAACAAGCTTTTCGTATCTGGACTCACTTTATTTTCAGACACTATATACTGCTGGTATTCAGTTAATGGGCTTTTAATTAACAAAAATCCATGCCCCATCCAGTCTACCCATCAGTACCATCAACAGGAAAATCTCCCACCTTGATGTTCGCTCTCAGTGATGGTCCAGAACAGTCCCTCAAAGGGTCCCAGGATGCTGAAGGTCTTAGAGGAGGGTGGATAAGATGGTGACACTGCACGCATCTGAACATGTGGTGATTTGCAATTGATCCTGGGGAGGCAGGACTGCCCCAGCAGCCATGAACTCCCTGGCTGCCATGTGTAACCTCTGTGCACCTACATCATTGAAGAACTTGTGCTGACTGACATTCAGTCACTCCTGCTAGTTTTTAATGCTATTAATTTTATACATCCCATGTTCTCATGAACTGTTGAGAAGATGCTTCAGTTTCCTTTTGCAAAGGAGGCACTCTGGTGATTTTTACCATCTTGCCTCTGTGCTTTTTGGCATTTGTAGTTCATTTGTGTGCTCTTGAACAGAAGAACATAAAAGTGTCCCCAGAATTACCCCTCACCTCATCCAGGTTAAGCTACCTGAAGAGAAGCGATCATTTCTTGCATAGCAACAGCTATTTTCAGTTACTAGTTGTGAAAACTAAAGGGACTGATCTTGCAAGTACATAATGTAGATAACTTTGTTTGCCCAACCAGTGTTAATTGATATTTTGGTGCTACTTTCATAGATGCATTTAGTGACACGTGTAAGTCTTTACAGGATTGGACCTACCCTGGGCATCATGAATCAATACTCTAGTTCATCTGTAACTCTTGGTGTGCCCTTTATTATTTCTGAAACACAAACAACTCAGAGGGGACTGTATCTCAACAAGAAAGGTATGAGCATATTCCTTCCAAAGTCAATAGAGCTGTTGTTTCTGGCTTGGCAGACATCTGCCAGAAACGCTGCTGAAGATAATCCTTGGTGGGGAGCACTGGGGGGAAACAGGATAAACCCAACAGCATGAGATGTTAAATATTTTTAATATACTCTCTATTGTTCTGCTGTCTTAAAGATCTTTCCTTCTGAAGGTGCCCTAACAAATTCACACACTGACCACTAACAAGGACTTAAAGCAGCACCATTTTGTGCCTGTGGTATAACCCATCCAAAGCATGTGCACCAGCAACTGGCCTGTAAGACTTATCAGCTAGTCTGGGGATCAAAACTCACCAGGTGGTCTATATATATACACAGTGAGGAACACAGAGTGCAGGCATCAAAAATCCACAGTGGCATGTGTACTTTACAGGTCATGATAGCTTCAAGGAAGTTACTCAAGAGGCAATACGTAATCAAGACCACATCTGAGAAAGGAAAAGACAAAACTCACAGGAAAAAAGAAGAAGAAAGGCATGACTGACGGATTATGTCTCTTCCCAAGATGTGTTAGGACAGCCATACATGGTAACAAAAGCCTATCAATCACTGGTATCAGCTGAGCATGCACTCGCTGTTCACCAGGCTTGTGAGGAGGCTGTATTATTTACACCGTACTTTTTTTCTGCTGTGGTTAAAGGTGTGATATCAAAAGCAGGTCCTGTGGCGCCAGACATCCACTGAAGGTATGAATATGACAAATTCCATTTATGTCTGGCAACGGTTGGAATTTCATGCTCAAAGTGAAACCTGTTCTAAAAAAGTTCATATATTGTAAAAGGTAAATATTCAGCCTAAAACTATTTTACTGGAGTAATAGAAATAATTTTCCTAAACTAATTTAAGTCCCCTATGATATGTAATCGTTTGTACTTTTTAGAGGGCAGGAAGACAATGTCCGTTTTCAAAGAAGCACATGGCATAGTATTTTTTGTTTGATTGTGCACAGCTTGTTCTTTTCTAATTGTATGTAATTCTGTAAAATGTAAAAGTGAATGTGCCTGTGTGCAAAGCCAGCATCTTCAGCCTAGTCTGATCATGTCTTAGGTAAAGCAATCAGTTCTGCGTGTACGTAAATGTTTCTGTAGCCATGTTAGCTTGGTACCATAAAGAAACAACCCGTTGTATGCTTGCTGTCTTTATCTTCTTAGATTTAAATGCTTTAAAACATTGGCCAGTTTCAAACTAACCTGA